AGAGAAGCTTGGACAGCCATTTGTCCAGAATGGTATAAGGTCTCCTGCCTTGGGCAGGGGGTTGAACAGAAGACCCCCAAGGTGTTTTCCAGTCCTATGAGTCTTTTGATTCTGACAGATAGGGCTCTGGCCCGGCCATATGACCAGACTTTGGCCATTCGGCAACACGGCTGCATTTACGGAATCTGCATGTCTCATGGTCATCAGACTGCATTTTATGATGGTTTTGCTGAAAACTTGACACTTCCGGGTTTTGGCAAAAGACACCCAGAGTGAACCATCGGTCGTAATGGCAGTCTCCATGATGATCTACTGCCAGGGACTTCCTGAATTCTATAGCTTAGAGCTATTATTTGACACGGGAACCTTGACTGTGGTGGGTACTCCAGACATTGGCCTGGCCTGAATATTTTAGCCAAAGCAGGGACCGGATGTAATGCACCCTGGTCATAAGAGAGGTGCATGGCCTATGACCTTGTGGACGTTGCTGAGCCACCTCGCATAGCAGCCTAGAGCAGCACGTGGGTTGCAGCTGAGTAATAGTTGAGGGTCTTCCTTGATTCTCCAACCCGGCCTCTATGGGGTTTCCTGGATCCTGTCATGACTTTGCACAGATAGACTTTACTGGGGTGTCTCTGATGGAACTCATTCTCAATGAAAGACTAAACTTGTGGGTCAAGCTTGGACGCCCATCCGTAAGGAAAGTTGAGTGTGTTGTTGTCTTCTTCTGCACACAGGCACAGCGATTACAAGGTGGCTTCCCCAGCCTTGAGAGCAGTTGGCAACATTGTGACGGGGGATGATATCCAAACCCAGGTGATGGGGGTGGGTGGGTCTTGTGTAGCCCATTGCAGACTCCCCCCCCCACGAGGTCCCTTCTTTTGAAATATCCACTACCAATCTGGAGAGATCAAGCTCCTGGACTTGGTTTTTGCTTCCAGTCAATAATCAGAGAAGTTGTGACCTTGTGGGATTGGGCACTTGGTACTCAAACTACGATTTAAAGCAGAGACTGGCTTAATGTCAGGGGTAGTAACTACTCATTGATGTGGAGAACACTTAATTTTTTTTTGCTACTGCTACTGCAATTCACTGAAGGCTAGGAGTTACTTTCTTTTCCCTTATCTTTTTATTTCAGTATTTTGCATTTTCTTGTTCTTATAATGCTAACAAGTCAACCCTTCAGAGAAGGGCTGAGGGAAATAAGTGGATCTTTGAGTCTGTCACGAAAATTACCAGATACACACACAGTTGTCTGGACACTCCCTGTTAACGTGGGGCCCTCGAAAGGTCCGCAATCTTAAAGCTCAAGCGGTTTGGATCATGAATGGCTGGCAGCTGGTTTTTGAGCCTGACTCCCCCTTTGGTCACTTCCCCTCCACCTGAGCTTCTCTACTTAGTCTGGATTCCCAGGATTATCTCAGATCTGCTTATCATAGTCCCATTTTATCTATCTTAAGCCTCAGTTGGCTCCTCTGCACATGTTTAAAATACCTTTAGGCGCTAGCTTGAACGTTTCCCAGCCTTCCCGGAAGGATTCACGATATCAAGTTGCATCCTGTGATTTTGGCATTTCAGCCCTTCCAAGATGCCTGGGGAATTCTGGGGGTTGAAATCCACGCACTTCAAGCTGCCAAGGTTGAGAAACCCTGGGCCAGACTCTGTAATACACGGGTGTCAAACTCGTCACGTGACGTGATGTATCGGGACTTTTTTTGCACTGCCGGAGCTGGGACGAGCACGGCCTCCGTATGATGCAACCGGTCAGCAGGCCGGCAGCTTGACACCCCTGCTGTAATAGATTTCATATAGCTGGGGAGAGCTCGAGACAAAAGGTGGCACTTGTGGCAGCCAGTAAAGTTAGGGCTGCTAAGCAAATTTGGAATGTGGAGAGAGGAGCTGCTCAAAGACATCCCATTCTCCCCCCCCCCAGGAGGAGCTTGTTCCCTAAGTTCTCCTTTGAAGTACCCACCCCCAATCTTCTGCCTGTTTTCTTGGGTGGGATTCTTGTAAGTACAATTGATGCCAGCAGCTGGCACTTTGCTTTTCCACTTCCCTGTTTATATATGTTTTAAAAGTAATTTTAATTAAAAAATATTACCGGCACCACCATACTGCGATGGCGCCAAACCAAGCAAGGTGGTCCAGAAAAATGCCCAAACCCAGTAAGAAATCCAAAGAGAGCTATACCTGTCCCGTTTATGTCTGCTTATTGCCCATAAGGTTAACCAAAGTTTATTTTGTCCCATAACCAAGGGACCATGATTGATGGGAAGACAGGTAAGCAGCTTCATCCAGCCATACGCATCCTTCAGATGGTATCTCTTGACCAAGCCCTGGTCTGATTTGGGAAGGTCGTTCTCCAAAACTGTAGATTTCTTTCTCCCAATTAAACTCTCCCTTCTGCTTTCTTTAGTGTAACGAAGAATCTCTTGAGGCCGGCTGACCTTTAGGTTATATTTGCTCCGATGCAGCATTCCCAGGTTGCACAAACTGGAATATATCTGTAACCAAATTATGCTTCTCCCTACCGTTGTGTTGTAATATTTTAGTAGAGTTATTTGCTATGAGATGGGCGTCATCAATCCATAAATGGATGGATGATCTTGGGGGACGGGGGGAAAAGATGCTGCCTAGAAGACGAGAGGAGGGGCAGCCCCCAGGGGCTTAATGGTGAGAGGGCTGGCATCAGCCTTGCTTCCTGCTGCCCCTGCCAGATCCTTTAGAGTGGGTCCTTCCTCAATTCCTTCCTCTGACCATTAATCCATTGGGCAGCGCCACCCTCCCTTGTCTGATTGTTTCCTGGGCAGCATCTCTCTTCCCCTCTTTCCCCAAGACCATCCGCACATGCTGCTGCGTGGAGGTAGGCAGACGTTTTGAAATGGGGCACTTATTTGATTTTCCTTTCTAGGTGATCCTAAATTGCTCGGCTTTGCCTTGTCTCCTTCATCTGCTTAGCAGCCCCAAAGAGTCCATCCGGAAAGAAGCTTGCTGGACCATCTCCAACGTGACAGCAGGGAACAGAGCTCAGATACAGGTAACGAGCCAACGGAGTGACACCCCCAGAGGCTTAAATTACTGTGCGCTTTTTGGACCACTGCTCAGATGTCAACGGCTTCCAGAGGAAAAGTGGAACCCCCCCAACCCCTGGTCCTCTTCATCTTAGTTCATCTCAGTCTCCGGGCACTCACCAGTGTGGTCTTTCCTGTACCAACAAACATCCCAGGACATTCTGGAGTGGAGCCTTTATTTTTAACGGGCTATAAAAGCCCTATAGTGGGATTAGGACCCCCTTTTCCCTCCTGGTGATGCATCCCAGAATTTGGTTTGCCTTCACAGCTGCCTGGCCACTCTCTTGGCTCATTTTGCAGTCATTGAGCACAGCGACCTCTTGTTCTGTCCAACAGGGTACCACCAGCACTGAACCCTTCCAGAGGATTCTTTTCCCCCAAGTGCACGATCTTATGTTTAGAAATATCGAGCTGCAGTTTCTACATTTTTGACTCATTTTCCAGCAACGCCAAACCGTTTTCCTTGTTACGAATACCCCAGGAACATCAACCCTATTACACGCCTTTGCGTCACCTGCCAAAAGGCAAACCTTATCTGGCAATTCTTCAGTTAATCGGGTGACTGTATTTCAGCTTTCACCAGCTTGGCAACCTTCCAGATACCTAGGTTGAATCTCAGAATTCTCAGCAGTGCTAGGCTTGTTGGAGAATTTTGGGGAGGATACGTCTGGAAGTGTATCCAGCTCAGGAATGGCTTCCTTAATGCTTGCCCCACCCTGCTTATATTCCTCCAGGGGGATAGAAGATGATTATGTGGTAAGCTATTTAATCATATTGATAAATTTCTCCTGCAAGAAACATACTGCATTTAACCTCCGATCCAGCCACCAATATACTGGTCTTTCTTTTTTAGCCTTTTTGTAACAGTATTAAGCAGACACCGCAAAAAACCGAACCATAGTCACTTGACTGTGGAATGCCACAACTGGTTATAAGGCTGGCTCGGCTGACATGCAGTCATGTGACTGCAAAGGGGTGACTGCAACCTTTTACAATTGCCAGGACTGCTTTATGGTCCATAAAGCCTTTGTGTGGTGACTTATCATAACTTCAAATGGTCATAAAACAAGTGGTCATTAAATGAGGACTACCTGTACTGCTGCTCTGTCCTCGCCTGTTTGCTTTCTCTGCCTCAAGGTTGGGCCCAGGCTCGGTGTCTGGCTAACACTGTCCTCTGGCCCTTCAGGCGGTCATAGATGCAAACATCTTCCCAGTATTAATCGAGATCCTGCAGAAGGCGGAATTCCGCACGAGGAAAGAAGCGGCCTGGGCCATCACAAACGCCACGTCGGGGGGCACGCCAGAGCAGATTAAGTAAGGTGTAACTTACTCTTTAACCAAGTTGGGCTTTTTGTTTGTAGATTGTGCTTCTCTCTAATTAACAGGTCTACGAGAACAAAAACTTAAAAGAACCTGTGGTATAAGGTCTCCCGCCTTGGGCAGGGGGTTGGACTGGAAGATCTCTAAAGTCCCTTCCAGCTTTAGGATTCTACGTTATGCACTTCATAGCATGCGGGTTTATGGCCCTTACTATTCAAATACACAACAGCTAATGGTTTGTCCTTGTTATTACACAGTTACCTGCTGCTCATAAACAACATCTCCATGATTGAGAAGAAAGGAAATAGTCCAATATAGAATAAATTATATACAGCCTAAAACTTTATTTTCCTCTTATAGTTTGCTAACAATAGGAGTCTTAGCTTGAATTTCAGACTTCAAATTTCTTCAGGGTTGAAAACTTATATCCCACTTACATATCTCTAGCTATAACTCCAATATTACCAGTAGTTTTAGTCTTCTAGATTTTTTTGCTTCATTTCCAGATATTTAGTAAACCTGGGCTGCATTAAGCCCCTGTGTGACCTTTTGACCGTCATGGACGCTAAGATCGTTCAGGTGGCCCTGAATGGCCTGGAGAACATCCTGCGGCTGGGAGAGCAGGAGGCCAAGCAGAGCGGCACTGGCATCAACCCTTACTGCAGCCTCATTGAGGAGGCTTATGGTGAGTGCCAAGTCTTGAAAACGTGCCGGGCTCAGATGCATAAGCCACCTGACCTTTGATGGGGAGCCCATGTAAACGATGTCTTTCTCCTGCAGGCCTGGATAAAATCGAGTTCCTCCAGAGCCACGAAAACCAGGAGATCTACCAGAAGGCCTTTGACTTGTACGAGCACTATTTTGGCATCGAGGACGATGACTCCACTCTGGCCCCCCAGGTGGACGAAGCTCAGCAGCAGTTCATCTTCCAGCAGCCCGAGGCCCCCATGGAAGGCTTCCAGCTATAACCCGCCTGCGGCGTTGGAGGGGAAGAAGACCCTCCCCTTGATGGAAAGTTGACTGCCGAGGGCCTTCCCACCCCCACCCCGTTTCCTCCTCTGCCCCGGCGGAAGGCGGCCCTGCCTGCTCCACCCGTTTCTCCTTCGCGACACGCAGTAGCAGCTGTGGACTCTTTTCTGGAGAGGAGACACTCCTACACGCTCGTTTTCTTCCCATTTTTGTGCTGCACGGGTGCGTCAAACAAGCAGGTGCTGAAGTGGATGGAGGAAGGAGGTGTAAATGCCTTCTAGTTTGTGGTTTTCCTCCAGTTTTTTTTTCTTTTTCTTTTTCTTTTGTGGTGTATTATTTTTTTCTCCTCAGATGAGATTTTTCGCTTGGGTACTTGAGAGATGACTTTTCTCCCCCAATGGGGAGAAGGCAAGGTAACCTGAACCGTAACCAAGGAATCTATTCTGGATGCTTGGAGTCAACTATTTAAAACAATTTGCACATGTTAATTTTTATTAGAGACTTCTCTTAATTTGCCAAATGCACCACTTTGGCCCACACAGGCTCTTTTTTTGGGGGGGGGAGGGAGGGAGGGTAGTCCTCTTGCCAAACAGCACCTTTTGAGGGAATTGGGCCAAGTAGCTGCTGCTGTTTTTGTCCCTCTCCACTAGATATATATATAGATCTAAAATAAAAAAAGAAAGAAACTGCGCAGAGATGCAGGCTGAATTGGACTGTGGCGTGAGGCCTTGGGAAGGCTTCCCCTGTCAGGTGGGGAGAGGATTTTTCAGAGCAGTTTAAAGATCCGAAAGCTCCTGACGCTCCAGTCTCAAGGGGAAGGCACAAGAAAGAACTCGAAAGCACAGCTGCCTTTTTAGGTGGGCTTATTAACCTTTGCTACTGACTGAAGTGGTGAACTAAGAGAAGAAAAAAAAAATCCCCTCTTGCATCTTTACTTGAAGAAACGAAATTGCAAAACTCAATGGAGCCTTTTGGTTTGTGCCATCTTATTTTGAATTTTTCTTTCCCTTGGACCACTGGGGTGGGGGGGCAACTTGCGTGTGGGGCAGCTGGGGGGGGGCTTGTCATCTGCTCTCCGTGCCACCGGTCCCGTGGCCTGTGTCTCTTTCAGAATTACCTCCTGCTCACAACTGTATCTTGTACATTTACTTCAAAATGAAGAAGTCAAAGCTCTGTATTTTTTATATATTATATATACATGTAGACATTTGTTTAATTTGGTCTGGGGAGGGGGGGGCTGGTTCTTTGGCGTGCTGATGGAGAGGACGATGCTCTGGGGCAGGCTGGTCTAGAGAGTTGGCTACACAGAGTTCACCACAACCACAATTCTCTTGGGGTTCCCCTTTGCCTATCCTACGAATGACACAATTTGGTGAGCGCCCTTTCACGGGAGATAGACTGAGCCCTGGCTGGTTCTTTTTTCCAGGGAGAAGCCCCTGGCTGAGAGGCCCCGTCAGGTGTCTTAAGGGAAGTTCAGATGGTGCGCACGGCCCCTTCCTTGCTCTCCCTCATGGGAAGAAGGTTCTCAAGGCCTTCAAGAGCGGAGATTCAGGCGGGGTGAAGTTGGATGTGAAAACCCTGGGCTGTATTTTGTAATAGAGGTTTGCTTTACATTGTTTAAAAAAATGCCAAGAAAATTTAATAAACTTCATCTCTGCATTCAGTGACTGCAACCCACATGTGAGTGGACTGAAGCATGTTGTTTTTTTCTTGCAGCCGTGTCACAATTGCCATTCCTGGAACCATAAAAGACCTTTTGGGAATCATGGCTGAGTTGGCTCTGGAAGGGAGGGAAGTGAAGGATGAGCGGAATGAAGGAAAAGAGGGAAAGGAAAGAGCCAGCAGAAGGAAAGAGACAGAAAGAGAAAGGATGAAGAAAGGGAGGAAAGGGCTAAGAAAATTAGTGAAGGAAAGATAAATCCTGAAAGGATTGAAGGCATAAAGAATGTTGAAGAGGGTTCAGATCATAGATATACTGTAAGAATGAAAAGTAAGTTTGTCATATAAGCAGTTAATAAAACATGAGAGAAGATGGGAAGTGAAAGAAGGGAGAAGTGAGCTAGTGAGAATAAGGTACAGTGAGCTGAAAGAAAATTTATGGTTTAAGAAACAAGTTAGCAACAAGGTGGATCAGAAACTTTTATAGAAGTTCAGTAGGTGAAACCAGAAGAAGGGTGTGTGAAAAGAAATGAAGAATAGCCCATTAGGGAGACTCAAAGGTGCGTAGCTTTCAAGATGAATTTCTTTAACAAGTTTATTTAGATTCACTTCAGTGGTGCATTTTTTATTTTATTCACTAAGGTAACTTTAATTCAAAAACATTCTCTGAATTGAGAAACAAATGTTGGTTCCTGATTAGTAAAACAGGATTAGTATTTTAAAAAATCCCTCTAGATCAAACTTAACAAGGATAGAAATCTAAAAGACGCAGTGGTTATGCTATAGTTAGGTAATCCTCGGGCTGCATCCATTCAAAGTTACAACAGTGCTGAAAAAATGGACAACTGTCTTAGAAGTTCTGGCTGTTGCAGCACTCCTGCAGTTACAGGTTCAAAATTTGGGCACTTGGCAACTGGTCCACCCTGTCCATGGCATCCGACCCCCCCCCCCCATGGCTCTTACCTGCCAGCCTCCTTGCTTTTGGGGCTCTCACCTCTCCCCTATTAATAAGCAGTCCTGGGATTATGCGGCTCTCAGGACTGCTGGGATTCTTTTGCTAAGGTGAACATTACAGTTCCAGAACGGGAATACCTGGCAATGCTCTAAAAGACATACTGATTAATGATTTCTATGGCAACCCATCTCACAAACGCAATCCTGGATGACTAACAAAGTATTAAAACAATAAGAAACCATATTAGTGGAATAAAAAAATCCAACAATTATCACCGAGAATGAACCTCAAGAAAGCAGCAAACCAGTGTTTCTCAACCTTGATAATTTTAAGGCATGTGGACTTCAACTCCCAGAATTCCACAGCCAGCAATGCTGGCTGTGGAATTCTGGGAGTTGAAGTCCACATGCCTTAAAATTGTCAAGGTTGAGAAACACTGTAAACAGAAACCTCTCCTCTCGTAACCTTTTTTTTGGAAATGAATCATACGAAAGTATTATAAAGACCAATTTTTCCCCCAACCGTGACCACTTTAAGGTGTCCATGAGTCATTAAGGAGCCGAGGTTGCCTACCCTTCTTCTAAGTGAAGCATATTGCAGGCGTAGTATTATTATTATTTTGTTGTTGTCATTGCCTGAAGTCTGCTCACATCCCTGTCAAGCTCCCAGCAAGAAGCCGATTCCTGCCCCGAGGGATGCTGGGAATTGTGGTTTCAGGCCACCCCCTCCTCCGCCGGGGATGAAGACCGCCGGGAGTTGTAGTCCAATCCGGCTTCCCGCCTCGGGTGGCGCTTTTTCTTCCGTCGTTTCCCAGCATGCTCTTCCCGGTCCCTCCCTCTGATTGGCCGCTGACCGTTAGCGGCGCAGGCGCAGTGCGAGTCCGGGCTGGAGCTGCTTCCTCGCAACCCTGCGGAGCGTTCTGCTAAGCCAGCGGAGAGAGGCTGGAAGGAGCACCCGGCAGCCACGGAGCAGAGGGGAGGAGGAGGCCGAGCAGCCGCGCCAGGACAGCGGAGGGCCCGAGCCGGTGGTCCTCAGGTTCGCCGAGTCGCTTCGAACGCGTCGTACTTCTCGGGCGTGACGTCAAGGCGGCAGGGAGTGACGTCAGCGGCGCGGGAGTGACGTGATAGTACGGTAGGGAAAAGCGGTGGAGCTTCCCGCGGGAGGAGGAGCACGGCGGAGGGGAGCGGGGCGCCGAGGGCGGAGGGGAGGGGGGGCGGGAGGAGGGCGTGGCCTGGGCG